CAGCTAGCTACACTGAAGTTGAAATAGCAGAGGAAAGCCTCAGCTCCTCAAAGTATGTGTCTTAAGGGATGAGTCTGTGATTAATGTAGCATGGGGAGTTTTTAGCAGCACCAAAGTGCAAAAGACAGGACTTGATGAGGTCTTCACAGGTCTTTCAATTACATGCAATTCTGCAACTTCAGTTTGGATATTTTTCTTCATCAGAAAAACAGATCAAGCATTTAGGGGCAGGTACCTCCACAAGGCAGGAAGAATCCCCCACACCTGAGCTGGAGCACGGAACCCAGCACCCACAACCACAGGAACTGTCGGGGCATTGCGCTGCCATCCGGAACAGCAATTCCAGAGACAGCATGCTGCAGAGCTGATGAAACACAGCAACAGGGTGCCCCAGCTCCAGAGGGCAATTTAAAGGAGCTGAAAGGGCACTGGGTGTGCTTCCGCCCTGTATTCCATGCACCTCGAAGGAAAAAGGGAACAAATATTCTTAGTCCTGACTAATACTGTACATGCACCCCTGGACTGCTATTTGAAGATGAACACCTCTCTTTCTGATACAGAGGAGGGGCCGTAAAGTGGGACAGGTACGTGGACTGGTTGGTAATACGCTTTGGCATCCACTACGTAAATCTGTGGTGTCACTGATGGCCTGCTGAAACCAACTGAAATGACCTCAATAGACTGAGAAAAGTAAGTGAAAAAGATGGTAGGGATTGTATCTGCCAGTGGCAATGAAGGCACTCCGCCACTATCTGGGAAGAGATGTTAAAATGTGCAGATGTATATATACACATACCTGACCAAGTACTACATTTAGTTATTTTTTGGTTATGAATCTGGTAACAGTTGTCTATGCTTTATGGACTGTAATTTCATTTCCTGACTCAGAAAAAGATGCCTGTAACATAGGCTAGGGATTTTGTTGTTGTTGTTGCTGTCTTGATTTATTTAAATGTATGGATTGTTAAAGAAACTCTGTACTTCTCCCTGCATAGTAGTCACAACAAATAGCACTTAGGGCCATTGCAGCCATGTATTTTCTGCCATCACACTACAAGGTTAATTGTTGAGATCAAAGCTATCTTCTGGTGGTTGTGCCCCACCTGAATGATCCACAGCAGCTGCGTGCCTCATTTCCCTGGCAGGTGAAACTGACCTTAAGGCTAATGGCACAGCATAGCGGAAAGCTTCTTGTTTGTCTAACCCAACGCATATTGTTTCAAGGGTTGTGTAAATAGTGAGATGCATCAGCTATTCTTCATAGAGTTATACACAAACTGCTTGCTTGCTGAAGCACTGAAAGACCTGTAGTTACAAGTGATAAAAAATTATCTATTTGTCAGGTCATTTAGAAAGGAAAAATAAGACTTAAGAGGGCCACGCCAGGCTTTCTTTAAAAGCTCAGTTAAAGAATTAACATATCAGTCTCGGTGCTGGCTACAGGTCACCCTCAACCTGTGTGTTTCCAGTCAGTAGAAGAGAGTTTACACTGAACTTCACATTTACTTATATGAAAATGCACTGGAAGGAAGACAGTACACAGGATCTGACAGCGTCTCAGAAAAGAGAAAAGAAAATGGTACAAAGTGTCAGGAAATGGCTTAAACAGATAACCTCCACCAAGGAGGTACTCAGGCACATAACAGAGGCAAGGAATCTGGCCAGCCTTTCCTCTGCACTGGCTTGTTCCAGTCTGCTGAAAATGTCTCACAGAACTCTTCCCTTCCACATGCCCCTAGGAGTACGGATTCAAATATTCAACATAGGAAAGCTCATATCTTTTATCTTGGGAGCTGACTGTGTTTAAAGAATGAACAAAACTCCTTTCAATGTACACTGTTAACAGTTTTGTTATTGTACAACACATCTGCATGCAGTTTTCAAGTAAGCATCGCTTAGCAGCTCTGTAAGACACCTGTATTCATGAGATACAAGCACTGACAATTTCCACATATTCTGCTTTGACGAGACAGGGCCAAGTACCTCAGGAGGATCAGTTAATTTTTTATCACTTCCTAGAACTCAAAATATGACTTTTCAAAGAATATGGTTTAAAAAATCTAGAAGTTTAAAAAAAAATCTAAGCACATACCAAGAAAAGTGCTCCTCTCCTGAAGAGCATCCAACATCACATACAACTGATGTCAACCATCTGATACAAACCAAAATGAAAACAAATCCTCTGTGTATAAAAACTTCACCAGTTGACCAATTAAAACATTGTTTCCAGAATCAAAGCACATGAAGACTCAAGAAAATGTGAGAAGAATAAAACAAAATAAAAATCCTATCTCAACAAAAATACTGTTTTTTCTAGAGGTAGTCAGTTATCAAGTTAAAAAAAAATCTTTCACCATTTTTCCAGTATCTTTATTCCTTTACATTTATTTTCAATATGAACATGATTAATTCTTAACTTTTGCTATCATATATCTTTAGTAAGACTCACCTTTTAGTGCAGAGTCGCTCATACATAGCAGATGTGCCTAAGGCTAGCTAAGTGAATTTTCTAACACTGCTCAGTTGGTAGATGTTGGTTGTGTAAACATATAACTAACTGATATGCTTTAATATCAAGAAAGAAGAAGGTGCAAAATCTCACTGACAGCATCCTAACAACAAATGAACAAACTCTGAATTCCCCACCAGGTGCAACATGGAGTGCCCTTGGTAAATTTACAAAATAATGATGCACAACGGAAAAGAGTCAGGATGCAAGATGCAAGTAATTTGGTAGGGATAAAACCACCTTTCCATTCTGTACTTCATCTGAGCACCAACATCCTCTGTCTTCTTGCCAATAAAAAATTATCACCTTTATCAAGCTCCTGCAAGTACACTGCATTACAGCAAGAGCAAAGCAGAATGTCAGACACTGAAAGATGCCACGTTCCAGTGGCAAAGAAACCAGTCTCCAAAAGTCTTTTCCGTGAGGACCCTGAGATTTGCCGATTCGAATGCAGCACCAAGGCCACCCGTCCAATTCTTTTCTTCCCAAACCAGCCTTATACAATACTGGGATAACCCTGGACTGATTTCTTCGAATTTAGGCTGCCGCATCTGTATTAGAGACAACACCTTTTTTAAAAAGTAGTATCAATGCACATGCAAACAATTTACTCTATTTCCGTATCACAACTATGTATGTATTTAAAAGAATGTAGTACGTGCAATTTCCATATACGTGTGTAAGTGCACGCACAGATAAACATTTATTACTCTGGCCACAGGTATCTCAGTACTATGGATCATTAATCATAATACTGAAATGTTGTAGCTTCCCTTACAGATTTTATTCAAAAACTGAATTATTTACTGTGTCAACTACAATCAAAGCTTATTATTACATGCATATATTACAGCTTCCAAGTTTCTCCCCTGAATTACGAGCTGCCTTTGTATTATCTGTGTATTCACAATAAAAACGCTGTTTTCTGTGTGGGTGGCAATGACTGTTTGAGGTAAAAGGACTGCCTTCAGTCTATGTCGAACAATGATCCAAGTCCTTTAACAGATGCAAAAGTTAAAAGATCAGCATGCAGATAATATTGTCACCAAGTGATTTCTTAATACTACCAAAGAGATTCACTGCATCACTTACTCCTTTGTGGCATTTCAATAAAATCGGTCCCCTACTAGTTCTGCATCTTAAATATAATATACCACATCAAGATTGCTACATGTGGTAAACACACTGGAGACGACGTGCCCATGTAACCCTTTGCACAGGAGTGTTCCATACCAAAGCAAAGAAGATTCGGACCCTCATATCCAAACCCTAGCGCAAACTGCACAGCAGCATTTGGTAGACGAATCAGTTATCAGAACATTCATATCACATGCTACAAAGGTGATTTCTAGGCACAATCTAAACCACACAGTTGTAATGATCAGATTGTGCACGGGCAGTGATGAGGAGCATCACCTACTCCTCGGCCCACAGTCTTAAGAAAACAGCCTTACAGCCACTAACTCCAGTGGGGAGATGTACATGCAAGAGTTGAAGCAGGCAAACCCCTGCTTTTTAAAACATGCAGTCCACTATAAAACAGTATAACCACCTATAACATCATAAACTACATATATAAACTGTAAATTCATTCTTCCTACATATACATGCTGCACATGTAGTTTTGCTAACTTAAAACCAAATTCTTACCTGTACAGAAAACCATTGCCTAGTACAGAGATACCCTCCCCTACATGAAGAATAGAAACTACTCCAATAATGTGTCCCATACACAATGTTCACAGAATCACAGAATCACACAGAATGGTAGGGGTTGGAAGGGACCTCTGTCGGTCATCTAGTCCAACCCTCCTGCCAAAGCAGGGTCACCTACAGCAGGCTGCACAGGACCTTGTCCAGGCGGGTCTTGAGTATCTCCAGAGGAGACTCCACAACCTCGCTGGGCAGCCTGTTCCAGTGCTCCGTCACCCTCAGAGGGAAGACGTTCTTCCTCATGTTCAGACGGAACTTCCTATGCTTCAGTTTGTGCCCGTTGCCCCTTGTCCTGTCACTGGGCACCACTGAAAAGAGCTTGGCCCCAATGTTCTTCAATTCCAAATAAAAGAAAGCTTATTCTTTTCTTTGGAGAAGAACTCTCACCAACACAGTAGTGTAGATAGCTGACAGCTGCACTACACTTATCTAAGGAAAATAAACAAACTTACCTAAAGCACCTTCCCTACAGTACCTGTTTGAAACACCTTAAGCACAAATCCCAATGTTAACTACACACAGCTACATAATTCATATACCAAATAGCTAAGGGCTTCCAAGTGACTTCAAATTTTTACAATGACAGTTTTATATAGTTAACAAGAAGGCAAAAAGGTGCAAGTTTGCTCAGTCATTTTAAGCAAGTCACAAACTGAACACCACAGAGAGTCCATTTTATCATCAGTTCAATTTAAAATCATCATGTTTATCTAACCATAAAATTTATTTTATGTTGAGGAAAAGGAAGAATCTTTAGATACGCAACTTCAGTACTTACGGGTAAAATGATTAGAAGTGGATGGATTGACACTATCACCACTGTCAGCACTTTCACTGCTAGAAATGTCATCATCCGATTCCCGCACAGAGGAACAAGGTGAGGAGCCATCAACTTCTTCAAACTTCCTCTTTAAAATTCCACTCATCGCTGCAATGCTGTCACATGCACCTGCAACAGGGACAGAGGCAATGAGGCACTGAAACATCCAACTGCAGAATATAAGCCATAACCTCCAAAGTCATCTTTACTCGGAACTACCAATAAGTTGCCACTGCTGGTCTTGAATAATCATTTAGTATGAAATCAGATATAATTCATTAGGAGACAGTGAAGCCACAGGAAAGAAAAAAACCATCAAAAGCAATACTCCAACTTGACATGTATGGAGTAGGTTATTTTGCTACAATAATGTGTAACAGACTGCCTTCAGAGAATATTTTTCCCATTTCGATGTCAATAGCATCCCTGATTTCTAGGTTATGTTGTGAAATTTCAGACAAGGAAAAAACAGATGTTTCTTCTCAAACACCTTCACTTGATCCCTCCCTTGGCTGCCACCAGAGGAAGAAATGTTCTAAGAAGAAATCGTTCTGAACACTACAGTTCCCACTGCCAAATAGATGTGTTCTAATCAATGTTCACATCACCCCTATAAGAAATCCATCTGATATTTCCAATACTATGGTGAGATAAAAGAAATGAAGTCACGAAGACCATATATCAATTTAGTGCTCAATAAATGCCTGGAATTCAGAACATTGCCCGCTCCAGTCGGAGACACCAATTGCCTCCAAACTCTCCCCTTCCCACATCAAGAAATGAGACGCCTAATATACTCCTGAGGTCAAGCAGAAGATTATAAAGCAAAGTATTCAAGCAGCAGTTTAGCAGCAGAGGTAGGACTATAACACCAATTGCACATAATTAAGGAGAAAGCGTACCCTTAGCCAACTGAGGAGAGACCAAGGACAGCCAGAGCTTGCTCTGCGGCCAGGCAGCCGCCACCACACTGCCCGCGGCACTGCAGAGGCAAGCAGTGCTGACACTCGGCTAGGCAAAATGTCTGTCCAGGATTGATGACATGCTAGACTTGCCGAGTAGGACACACAATCTGGCACTATGGACTTACCACGGGGTTCTGCTAAATCACCCTGAAAGCAAGGGGGAAAAAAAAAAAAATTGCATTCCTCACTGAAACAGAACTTTTAAAATCCCTGCAGCTACATTTAGGGCTCCGTAAGTCTGAGCCAGCTGCATTCTGCTCCACGCAGGAAGCTGGACTAGGCAACCTCCAGAGCCCCCTTCCAACCGACATGTCTATGGTTATATGTTTAAAATAAAATAAACGCATCCAGAAGCGAACATATGCTGGGCTAAATGACCACTAGTCAGTCAGAGCAGGTGAAGGCAGGGGCTCCAGCACTGGCCATACTGTTTAACAATTAGCACATTTTGCAGTTCTGGCGCAGGCCACCTCGCGCTCTCCTGGATAACGCAGGAGAAAGCAGGTGCCAGAACCAGTCCCAGCAGGCAGGCTGGATGAGGGTACCCGGCTTTTGGCAGCGGGCTGACAGTTTAGCCACCGTGGACAAGAACCGTACCCTGCTACTTGGCAGCGGAAGCCAGAGAATGCTGTCCTCAGCCTGCGTATTTTTCATCTTTTTAATTAATATAGAGGTAGTCTCAGTGATGTAGCGGCTATGTTCTGACCCTGTAAGCACATCACTACAGTAGATCCTCTGGTATCTTTGCTCACCCTTGACCTAGTACCAAGTAGCTTCAATGTCTCCAATGCATCCCATAGCTCCCTTCAAGCCTCAACACTAGTTTGCTTCGTGGAAAAACCAAAGCAACAGTGTGAAGGGGTTTGCACCCAACTTTTGGCCTGATATGAGGCCAGAACAGGATAAGGGTGGGTATATGAAGCTGAGAGCTACAAAAAAATAAAAAAATAAAAAATTGATGGGGTCACCAGGTTACAGAGTCTGTAGGACTAATTCAAAATCCTAATTCTGCAAACACTGAAATCTGTCTGTAGGAAATCCTGGGACTGAGGTGGCAAGAATAGTACGGTTTCATCCCAGTGCAACAGAAAGCAAGTTCTAACTGCTTGTTTTGCCTCGCTGAGAAAGCATTTTACATTGTCCGCCAGCTCCTCAGCACAGCCAGAGGGACTTACAGGCAGGTTTCAACTTGCCTTTGTAAGTCAAAACTAGAAATTACAGATACATTATACAACATTTTTATGATCTTATTTAATCACAAGGATTAGAACACAAGTTTTACAATATGGGAGTTCCTTCACCTCTTTGGAAGCAAAAGCTCCGAGACACACGTACACGATCACAACAAGTTTAATATTCTGTCTCCAGCAGTAGTCAGTATTTAATGCTTCAGTGGAAAGCAATGGGATGAGAAATCCAGCCACAACCACTGCAGACACATGGCTCTGCTTCCTCATCCTTGCAGTCAATTTCCCCTAAGCATAAGGCTGAAATGTTGCTATATGACAGTGCGCAGCCTCTTCTACATTCGACTTGCTCTCCAGAGGCAACAAGTTTCACATCACTTTACTGGGGGGAAAAAACTCGCAACAAAACGCATCTCCAGAAACTATAGCCACAGACCCTTCAAAATCACAGCAGTTTCAGTCTTTACGGTAGTTTGGACAGTAAACAGCAGCAGTGCCTAGCAGCGTGCTGTACTAGACAGATCTCCACATATACAGGTATTCCCCACAAAGTAGAAATAGCTGAAGAGAAGTCACTGAGGTCTTCTTGCTCTTTTACAGTGATATTTCCATTTCAGCCGCCAATGGCAATTACATTACAAGGGAGGCGCAGTGCATCTGCTGATCCTGTACAGAATTAGGAAATGCCTTTACGTGTGGGGGCGTGGGCAGGGAGAGAATGGTGGTGGAGACGCAAACAGAACTGCAGCATCGAGTTACTCATCCTGAAGCTGAGGAGACCATCCGACGGCGGCAGCTGCCAGGAAGGACCCGGCACATTACTGCCCACGCTCTCAGCCGCACAGCCATGCAACCCGTCACAGCCTGCCTCTCGGCAGGGCCCCAGAGCAGCTCAGCTTATTGCTGACACTATTCCACTTTTAGTGTTGTAACTGAAGTGTTCATCAGCCAGAACAAGGATGAGAAAGTGAGCAAAAAAACTGTGCAGGTGCGAAAACACTTGTGCACTCAGTTGCCATTCAGACAGGTTCTTCCCAGCTCTGAGCTAATGATCCCCAGAACAAGACATGGATTCCCATCAGAAGGTATCCAACTCTTGAGAGTAACGTACGGGGAGCACTGGTCCCTGATACAGCCATCTTGAGTCTGCTCTGAGAACTGGGGCCAGATTCCCTAGGGCCAGGAAACAAAAGCAGGGGGTGCAATGTGCAACCTTGACAGGTACGCGATGCCATGCAACACAGTATGGCCACCAGCAGCCCCGGTGACACCTACTCGGTCCACCCCCCACAAGGGCACAGGGGCATGCGAATGCCTGAGTACTGACAGAGAAACAGCTACTTTCAGTTCAGAAACCAGTTATTTCTAAATGACTCCAATGCCATATCTCTGACCAGTCCTCAGGTCAAAACCTGAGGCTCTGGCTCTGCCCAGCTGTCACCAGACTGTCGTCTTCCAAGGCATCTGAGCTTTTTCAGGGTCTCACTTTCTTATTTCAAAGCTCCCCTAGCATAAAAGCTGCTTCTGCGCATACCCAGAAGTTACAGAGATCTGAGATGCCTGAATAACCTCATGTCCAGGTCTCCCTGGGAGCCTGAAACTTGGTGTTCTTCCAAGCAAGGCGTCTAAGAACAAAAGGAAAACAGAGCATGAGCGTGGAACGTGTTGAGCAGGAAAGCTGATGGCAAGGCTGGGCCAGGCCCAAACCCATGAGTGTTTGTTTACGTTCCTGAAGGCTGGTTAATACAGCACAGCACCTGGCATGCTACCTGTGCATGCTCTCTTTGGACTAAGAATCTTGACATTATTTTCTTCACAGTGAAAGGGTCTCCACCTCAGCAAAGGACTTTGAGTGCTCTCCGCTAAGCTATAGCTTAGAGACAGCAATTACTGAACACCAGACTGAGCTCTCCAGCCCGGGTGAGCTAAACAACTGTGTAAATTACAGGAAACCCACTGAGCGGCAGATCTTTACAAGAAAGATGTTTTAAGAGGGAAAGTGACCTATGCTCTGTTCTGGAAAGGGAAGGTGTATGTGCCTGCCTTCAGGAGCAGGCACTGGGCTGTGACTGCAGAGCGTGGGGACCTCCGAGAGCAACCAGCCCAGCTGCGGTTCCACACTGAAGGGGAACCACCCCGGCGTTGAGGATTAAAACATTTAACCCTCGAGCATCTAACCTCTAATTGCCTTGCTTCTAATTTCATTAAGGGGATGTGACCTAGGGACTAATCCTGAAACTGTACAACACTTGTGGTGTTCAATGACCACAGCTTCTCCTCAATAGATGAAAAAAAATGATTTCTGCACACAGAGAGACATTGCAAGGACAAGGTATTTTACAGCCTTCTCGACACTGCTCGGGAACACACACTCCTCCCTACGGTATATTACTGGACTCTGCATCGGTAAACGAGCTCTGCTGGCACTGTAATTCTGCTGTGTCTTCAAACACAATGGGATTCTGATCAATTCTAAAACACTTTAAAAGGAAATGTTTGAAAAACAAAGCAGATTTATTAAATAACAGGTTCTCCAGGGGAACGATAGCTTGGCCTGTTCATTTTCAAAATTCTTTTTCTGAACGTCGATACCTCTTCCCTTCAGTAAACCGGATTCCTTTACCTTCTGGCCACCTCAGAATCAACTCAGCTCTCTTAACACCCTCACTTACACCTTTAAATCATTAAGTTTGTTTATCACAGCTAATGTAAGGTCAAATTACATTTTATATATTTACTCAGAACTTCCCTATGAGGAAATATACCTTACATTACACAATGCTTGCTTCAGCTGAGAAAGCATTAACAATTGGAATTAGAGTGACACAGTATTTAATTGTAGCCTACATGTTCGCATTCAAAAAGATATGCAGCCATTATGACTTCAAATGCAGAGGAAATCAAGTGTAAGTGTCAACAATGAGACTGCCAAGGGGATGGTCAAAAGAAATCAC